TATTTTTGAGTAATGGGTATAGTTCTTCTAATTAATACCTAGAGTAGGTGAAATGGCCTGGTAAAGGTACAGTTTTCTCTGTACCAGGTAATACCTGTTATCTTGATCTTGAATCATTGGTCATTTGAGAGAGGTGTCTTACTTTTGCTATTTGGAGGACAAGTAATGCCCCTAGTGGACCATTTAGTAAGTTTATATAAGCCCTATTTTATGTAATTTCTTTAAAATTGGTTAATGTCATTGAGTTATTTGAGTATATGATGCATTTATTTCTCCAAATACTATCAAAGGAAAACAAGATAATAAATTCAGCTACCAGCAGGATGTTGCTACCATTAATACTATCACCAAGGTAACTCCAAAAAGCTAATCGATGTCCCCATATACCCATATCTTTAGATTATTTTATCTAATTATGATGTAAGTACATAATATTTGCAGGAAAGGATTTTGGTAGTGATTTTGGTTGTGATTTTGGTAGTGACTTCTAGTAATCAAAGTATAGGAATACACTATAAAAATTCACTTTAAGTTTTCCATTTATACTCTGAGCAAATTGAATGCTTATTATCCATAAATATATTAAATGCCAAAGTTTTCTACAATTGTGATAGAAAACCAGTGATTTCAGAAAGTCATTAAATAACTATTAGAGAAATTAAATATTGTTAATGCGAATTCACAATTTTCTAATTATTAAAGTTTTCGGTCATTTTGCACTTTTTAAATTAGATTTTTTAGACTTGATTAATCAAGTCAGAACATCTTATAGTTCTCATCAGTTTTTTCTTATAAATTTATGAGAGATACATCATATTTTACTACAAACAACTACCTTTTGTAAACCAAAGAGAAATTTAGAATAGAACTCAAGGCCATCTAAATACGTATCTTTCTAAAAGCCCTCTTATAACCTTCTGTTTAGAACTTCTTTTGGCTCTTAGGTTGAAATGTTCAATGTGTACTCATTCACTAAACTGATTATTTAGGTGTGTGTTGTCCATGCGCCGTATAAAAGCACAAAGCTGGAATGATAAATGTGTATTTCTCCATTCAGTAAGTATTTATTGAGCATCTGCTGTATGCAAGGTACGATATCAGGAACATCTGATACAAGGGTAAACAAAACACATACAGTCCCTGTACTACTTACAGTCTAGAAAGCAAGACAGTCATTAATCAGATAACCATACAAATGAATGCAAAATTATCACCATGAAAAATGCTTTGGTGGACAAGTGAACGGTGCTATCAGAGCTCAAAAGAGGATATGACCTAGTCTTTGGAAAGAGCGTAGCAAGATAAGTTTTGTTTTTCCAAGATTGGTATAGAAGGGACCGAAGGGGAGGGAAGTGTAGATGAAGGAGACCAGTTAGAAACTATTGGAGTATTTATTTCTGGACAAAAGCTTGGATTAGGGGAGTGACGGTAGAAATGGAGAAAGTTGTAAACCCACCCTCACTGCTCTCCCTTCTCATTATTCATTTTAAAGCCAAATTATGCTATTTGCCTAGAAAACAAAGGATCTATCCTTTCAGGGATTTTTTTAAAAAATGTTTTTATTTTTGAGAGAGAAATAGCATGAGTGCACATGGGAGTGGGGGAAGGGCAGAGAGAGAGAGAGAGAGGGACAAAGGATCTGAGGAGGGGTCTTTGCTGACAGCAGAGAGCCTGATGTGGGGCTTGAACTCACCAACTGTGAGATCATGGCCTGAGCTGTAGTCAGAGACTTAACTGACTGAGCCACCCAGGATTTTTATTCTCTGAATAATAGCTTCCAATTGGAAATCTAAAGAAGTATAATTTGTTGCCTCACCTGCTACTGTCCCACTTAAAAGTTTGCAATTTCAAAAGCTCAATGATGATTATATATTAATACTTATTGATATTGTCTTGATAATTATAATATGACAGTATTTGATGGTGACCCATTGCACCCTTTGTTTCCGGGGTTCACACAACTCACTGTGAACATTAAGCCTTCTCTTATTGAAATGTTTTTTTTCCCCTCCCAGGATTTTGCCTCCACCTCCTCCTCCCAATATTGTGATAGCTCTCTCTCTCTCTCTCTCTCTTTTTTTAAGAATGTCATGTGATGATGATGTCTTATGTTATTTTATTAATGATATCTTGGTTTTTAATTCTATTTTATGTAATGCTTAATTCCTAGTTATTATCTCCTGATGAAAATCATTAGGTTATAGAGTTACTAGAGCAAGGTTGTTCTCTTACAAATTCACTCAAATTTCTCTTGTTCTGCTTTCCATTGAACTTAATTGACTCTTTAATGTAAAACACTGGAAAATAAGTGAATTTATCCATAATTTATAATAACCCTTTATAATAAACTCATTAATTATTTATAAAAGGTTTTAGGTACCAAATTAACTTTGGTGAGAATAATGTGTTTTACACATTAATTAGTTATGAAATAAATTTCATATCTTTGAATTTCAGCGCATTTCCCCATTTGAGAATAATATATTTTTTTTAATTTTAGACAGCGTGTGAGTGGGGGAGAGGGAGAAGGAGAGAGAGAGGAAATCTTAAGCAGGGCTCCATATGAGGACCCTAGGATCATGACTTGAGTTGAAATCAAGAGTTGGATGTTCAACTTACTGAGCCACCCAGCCACCCTCAGAAGAATAAATTTTGAATACACTTTGGAAGGATGCTTAATAGAGAGTGTTGAAAGCCATTAAGGAAGAATTGTCTGTAGCTGGGAACATCCGTAATTCACAAAAATAAAACAAAACTTTTTTCCCCTCCTGATAATATTGTGTCACTTTAGAAACTTGAAAATACAACATGTAGTGAACAAATGGCATGTTTTCTTTTTATCTTTAACCCAACCTGTAAGCTTCCAGTCAATTCAAAAGCTGTGTGCTGGGGCGCCTGGGTGGCTCAGTTGGTTAAGCGTCTGCTTGGGCTCAGGTCATGATCTCACGGTTTGTGGGTCCAAGCCCTGCATCGGGCTCTGTGCTGAGAGCTAGCTCAGAGCCTGGAGCCTGTTTCAGATTCTGTGTCTCCCTCTCTCTCTGACCCTCCCCTGCTCATGCGCGCGCTCTCTCTCTCTCAGAAATAAAACATTAAAAAAAGAAAGAAAGAAAAGAAAAAGCCATGTGCTGTCAGTCTATAAAGAGATTGTGGCTTTTAGGGCTAAATCTCCTGTGGGTAGGGGAACTAAGGACTCATTAACAACTAAAGAATTGTAAATACAGGGCTGCCTTAACACTGCTTCAGGGTCCTGGAATAAAAGCTCTTAATTTTCTCTAGACATTACGGAAACAATGTTTCTTTTAGGGAACCAGTGTATCTATCTTCCTAAAGGTGTTTCTTACTTGCCAGAAGAACCTCTTTTTTGTGCTGGATCTGCTCCTGCCTTCCTGGATCCTAGCATCCTGACTTGATGACTTCTTAAATCAACCACCTTCTGAAACCTGTCTTCTTCCTGACCTTGACTTCTGTGTCGCCCCGTGCCTAATTCACTTTTGCCTGTTATCTACACCTTCTTCTCACCCTTGATGTGATAGCCCAACTCCATGGCTGTTTCTCAAGAGAAGACTATTACTGAGCACTGATACACTTGTTACAGAAAATGACTTCAGGATATGAGATTGGACCTGTTAATTTGAGAGTAGGGTTATATCTTAAACCTTTCTCAGAGGATCCTTAGAATGCTTATAAACTGGGACTTAAGACATTTTTGACCAGGGCTCTCTGAAGACTGAAGTTACAATTTTAAAAACGAAATAGATAACTATTATCAGCTCTTTTCCCTAAACTGGTCTGGCTAGTAGTACATATTCAAGTATTTGTTGAATGTATGGTAGTCCCCAAATTTCATGTTTAATTCTCTTTGGTGTCACCAACAAAACCCATTCAGATACCTTTATATCTGATTTATCACTATGTAAAGCACTTTTGAATTACTTGTTTTCTATGTACAAGCTATTAATGTTTTATAGCAGCCATAAATATAATTGAAAACTAATGGTACTGCTATAGAAAAACAATATATTTACTGTTAAACACCAATTCTACTTAAACTAAGTAGCATATTTAGAACTTATCTATTGATTAGCAGTACGACACATAACAGATTAACTTGTTGATATTAGAATACTGGAATGTCTGGTTGGCTCACTCAGTAGAGCACATGGCTCTTGATCTTAGAATCGTGAGTTCGAGCCCCACATTGGGTGTAGAGATTACTTAAAAATAAAATCTTAAAGAAAAATACCAAATTGACTAGCTTCTGTCTATATAAACAAGGTTGAAATTGGTATATTGTACCGCTTGAAAAAATTATTTTATATATAGTATGCTGGATAAATGAAATTTGTGTGGCACTGAGCATTAACTTCCTCTTGCTATTCCAATTTAAAAAATATTTAAGTATATGTTTAAAAATTAATATGGAGGATAATGATGACATTAATGGGCTTATTTTTATGTATAGTTTATGTGATCGATTTCATTTAATAGTTATGGCTTCTGTATCATAAGTTTTAAAAAGTTCTAAAACATAGTAGGATTGAATATTTGTTTCAAAATTCACAGAAATGGTATTTAGTGTTCTTTTCGGAGTAATTAATAATGCAGTATGGGATTTTAGCCCTTTTTAAACCTGTAATCTTATGTAATTTTACCTACATGCAAAAAGCATATGATGTAAATAGTTACAACACTGTGCAACATGCATGAATTATTGATTTACAGTGAACATTTACATTGTACCAATGAATTCATGTGAGCATTTCTAGCCTATGGGATATTTGTTTTGCAAAAGAAAATAGAAGTAGAAATTATTTTCACAACTTGAATATGTAATTCCCTATTAATATCAATTCTTTTGCCAATTGTTACCCCAAAATTGGCTAAGATTAATACTCTTCTCATAATAGATCAAGGCAATTTACATTTAGTTTTCTTTGTCTTTTTTGTTTGTTTGTTTTGTTTTATTCCCTCCACTTCCCAATTATTTCATGGCATTTCAGTGCTTCCGAGAATTTAGATGAGCTCTCTTCCTCCAGTAGCTGGTTACTTAACCAGAAGCACAGTAAGAAAAGGAGAAAAGACAGGACAAGATTGAAATCTCCATCCTTGACTATCATGAGTACAGCAGCTCGAACAAGGCCACTTCAGAGTTTCCACAAACGAAAACTCTACCGATTGAGCCCTACTTTTTATTGGACTCCGCAGGTAAGGCTGCCTATGGGGAAACATGAACAAAGATTTTATCATCAGTATATTTCACATACCACAGGGTATGGATTGTCCATGGTTATTTAGAATAATTACATCTAGAAAGCTTTAAATATATAATTTATAAATCACATAGGTATTCATGATATCTAAGTGGAATTTAGTAATTTTTAACATAGCAGTGTATTCTGAAACTTCTCACATCCCCATTTTTTTTAGTGCACTGTTATGCTTAAACTGGTTTGAAGGAAAATTACATATCATGGTGATTTAAAAATTTTACTGGTAAGGGTAATAAGGAAAACACAAGTGTACTACATATTTGTCTTTGGTTAGTAAAGAAAATCTGTATAGCTGTCAGTTATTATGTAGGAAATGGCATTGCTCTCCTTTTTAGGTTTGGTATTTGTTAATTCTTGTGAGCATCCCTTTTCCTTTTTCTGGAATATAAGCAATGCAATTTTATGTACCATGCTTACACTTTTTTATAATTAAAATGTACTTCATGAAAGCCATTTATTTTTAAAACATATTTTTCACTTGTTAGCAAAATGTTAAGTATACATCTTTCTGTGCATATCTGAACAAAGTGTGGTTAAAGAGAAGATAAGTTACCTCCAGTTTTTGTTATATGACCTGCTTTTTTTCTATTACATTTTTAAGTACTAAGTCAAAGGAAAGAAATGGTAGTGTCATTTAATATTGTTTCTGATTATTACTATATTAACTATTAAGTATATTTAACCATTTTAAATATATTTGTATAAAAATCAAGAGGCTTGTTTCATTAGAAGCCAATTTTAAATTTGGTTTTATAGGCTTCAATTTAAATAGAAATGTGCATTCTGACAAATTAGTTTTTATTAATAGGTTAATTTTTACCATATAAGTAGTTTAGATATTATTGTCTCCCAACTGAAGGTATTTTTTTAATTTAAGTTTGTTTCAGAATTTTAATAAATTCTACATAATCAAATAGGAAAATACTTTTATTTAAAGTTTTTATATACAAAATCATATTTAGTGATTTTTTAAAAGATGTAAACAATAGATAAGTAATGTTTTTGAAATTGACTTTATAATTTCAGAATTGTAAGTAGAATTGTCTAAAATTCTGAACATATAACTATGCCACAATATTCTGACTGAAAGGAATTTGCTTGAGTAATTTAGATTTGCTAGATGTTACTAGAATACTTCATATACCCTAACATTGTAAACATGGGCCTTTTGTACAGCAAACAAATGAAGAAACATGTGTCAGATTATTGTTACTAGTAGACCATATTCTTTATTCACAATGCTAAGCATTTTCAGTACATTATTTTATTATTTATTATTATCTCAAAATATAACTGTGCAGTATTATTAATCCCCCCTTTAGATACAAAAATTGAAGTGCAGAGAGATTAAGTAATTTACCCAGGGTCACACACTTAGTAAGTGTTAAGTCTGATTCCAGAGCCCATGTTCTTACCCATTGGATCTATAACGACAAAAATAGACCAAATCTTTTGTGCTTTTGAAATCAGCAAAGACACTATATTTGGAGATTGGGGAAGGGGCTCATCTGGTTACAGGTATTAAGAAATACATCATAAAATACGGGCTTTGAAAGATAAACAGGATTTTGAAAAGTTATAAGAGAGATAACGAATTTTAATAGAAACAGAGATGAAAAATGATGGAGAATAGAAAATATCCCCACCCCTAACTTATCCCCCACATTGCCAGGAAAATAGTTATTTGCCTTTCTAAACTTAATAAATGTCCTTTCTCTCCGGAAGTCTTCCTTGACATCCCTGCATTGGGATGTTAATATAACAAACACCTTATGGTAGGAAAATAATCCATATTTAAATAATCATCTATTTTTCTGTCTTATTACATTGTAAGTTATTAGAGAACAGAGAGTATATATTTCTGATCCTACAGAGCTTTGAATAGTTACTGTCCCTATTCTATATACTCAATATATAATGGTTTAATTTTTTTCGAGAGAGAGACCAAGTGCGTGCCTGAGAGAAGAAGGGCAGGCGAGCAGGTGCAGGGTAGGGGCAGAGGGAAAAGGGGAGAGAGAGTCCCAAACAGGCTCTGTGCTGTCAGCGCATAGGGCTTGATCTCACGACCATGAGATCCTGACCGGAGCTGAAATTAAGAATCGGACGTTTAACTTGTTGAGCCATCCAGGTGCCCCTAAATAATTGCTTAATATGTGAAAGAATTAATATAATGGATATAGAAGGTTATTTAAAAGATAATGAAGCATGCAAATGAATGTGTGTTTGTGTCTTCAATTTACTTTGTGAAGGGATCTGGTACAGTATATAATGACTGATAGAATTTTCTTATAATGATGAAAATGTTCCATGAATACCTGTGCTGTCCAATATGGCAGTAGCTAAATACATTTAGCTATTTAGCACATGAAATGTGGCTAGTGCAACTGAGGGACTGAACTTTTTATTATATTAATTTTGATTTAAATAGCCACATATGGATATGACTGGTTTAGACCCATACTTACCCTGACAGCAGTGAGTACATATGACTCTCATTCTTGTTTTCTAATACTACTCCCTACTGAAAGGAAACAGGGATCTTTGGAGAAATGGTTGATCTCCAGAGTTGGCAAGGTAGAGTATAAGATGAGCCAGGAATATGTCAAAGTTACCAGAAAGCAAGGAAGTGTTACCAAAAAAAAAAAAAAAAAAAAGATGGACATGTCAAAAGAACCCAGAAAATAGTTTGAAAAGGTTGTGCTACTGGCCAAATTTAGGGCTATTTGAGCATCAAAATAACTAAGGACACTAATGAACCATTGAAAAAAATAGGAAACCATGAGTCCATGCTGCTGTTAGCTTGATAGATAGATAAAAAGGAGAAAGGGAGGACTTTTCCATGTAGTAGATTGCAGATTAATAAATGAGGAGTGAACACAACTAGAAAATTATTATAGTAATCATAGTAAACACTGATTGGGCAAGAATCATCAATAGGTGCTCAAAACTAACATAGCCTATGAGAAGGATATAGTATTGCTATGGAGTACTTTGGCCAGGGAAGTATAGGCTGAATATAATTATAAGGAAATAGTAGACAAAACCAAAATCAGCAACATGTTATTAAGAAACTGTGAAAACTACACTGTATTCTCTTTTTTTTAACAACTGTTTCTCAGTTTATTTTTTTTTTATTTTGAGAGAGAAAGAGAGCACAAGTGGGGAGGGTAAGAGAGAGAGGGAGAGAGAGAATCCCAAGCAGACTCCACACTATCAGTGTGGATCCCGATGCAGGGCTTGAACTTACGAACCATGAGATCATTACCTGAGCTGAGGTGAAGAGCTGGATGCTTAACTGATTGAGCCACCCAGGTGCCCCAGCTAGCCTGTATTCTTTTTAAAAAGTCAATGTTGTGAAAGTCAAGAAAGACCTAGGAACTATTTTAGCTTAAAAGAGAGTTTAAAAAGATATATGACAGTTAAAGGAATATTTGATCCAGATTGGAATTATTTTGGGGGGTGGGTGGGAGGGAAGGGGAATTCTTGGGGATTGAGAAACTGTGCTGTTGTACTGTGATAGACTATATAAAAGTATTATATCAGTGTTGAATTTCCTAAATGTGATAACTGTTTTGCCATATGTAAGAAAATATCCTTATTTTAGGAAATGCACATCGAAATATTAAGGGGTAAAGTGACTAAGGCATCCATCTAATGTAATAAATTAGCTCCTGTGCATGTAGAATGGTACTTACCCATGTAGCATCCTTGGCAGAATTGAGAAAATAATTATTTAAATTATTATTTATATTTAAATTATTATTTTATAGCACTTAACTCTCTAGCAGAGTACTGGCTCAAAAAAGCTTGTATAAAGGCAATGGCGAGGTAGGAGTCCTCTGCAACTACATAGCATATAGTAATTAGATGATCATCACTCTCATTGCAACAACTACATGTGTAAATTGCGGAGAAAGAAATCATGCTAGTAAAGACATTAGAAAGACTTCTGGTTTCATCTCCAACATATAAGGAATTTATAAGTCATCACTCCTAACCTTATAGTAAGAAAAAGGTGAACAAACTAAAAATCAGTGCCTTTTCATGGACCCATCAAAGAATTGAGGCTATAGGACAAACTGCCACCCTGAAATATGGAGAGAAAAGCAGCTCCAGAGACCTACAGCCAAGATGTGCTCACTTGGAGCAGAAGCCACAGCAACCATTAACAAAATTGTTAGGAACAGTTACATGGTAATTTTGATGAATTATCTGAGGCTGAGTGTGGACTATCTTGAGATTAAAAAACTCCTAGGGACTACAGTCTTAAAAGTTCCCCCACACTTTCATGGGCTTTACTTCCACATACCCCCCAAGGTTCTCATAATGAAGAGCTAAGAAGAATCCTCAGTGGCTTTGGTATGGAAAGGGAAGAGATAACTTTTAGGAAATGAGCCCAGAGCATTGTCTGTAACACAGGTTCCTCTTCCAGTGAAAAGACTTTAGTAAGGTTTTTTTTTTTAATGTTTATTTATTATTGAGAGACAGAGCATGAACATGGGAGGGGCAGAGAGAGGAGGAGACACAGAATCTGAAGCAGGATCCAGGCTCTGAGCTGTTAGCACAGAGCCTAATGTGGGGCTCAAGCTTACAAACTGCGAGATCATGACCTGAGCAGAAGTTGGACACTTAACCGACTGAGCTACCCAGGTGCCCCAGTAAAGTCTTATTTTACCTGGGAGAAAAGCATTTTCCCACTGCTGCCCCCCTATAGCTTTTCTGTCTCACCTAAGAGGCAATGAGGGTAGAAAATAAGAAACACTGTTTAAGTCCTGGACCCACTAAAGGGCAGATTTAATTGTAAGAATATAGTAGATTATGCTACAGTAGTAGGTAGGCTTCCTTTTGTTCTTTTTTTCTTTTTCTTTTCCTTTTCTTTTTTGTTAAAGTAGGCTCCATGCCCAACGAGGGGCATGAACTCATGACCCTGATCAA